CTACTACTACTACTACTACTACTACTACTACTACTACTACTACTACTACTACTTCTACTACTACTACTACTACTACTACAACTGAAACAACAATAACAAGAGCAACAATATACTACTACTACTACTACTACTACTACTACTACTACTACTACTACTACTACTACTACTACTACTACTATAATAATAATAATAATAATAATAATAATAATAATAATAATAATAATAATAATAATAATAATAATAATAATAATAAGAAGAAGAAGAAGAAGAAGAAGAAGAAGAAGAAAACATAAAAGATATTTTCTACTATTTTTATCTTTCTTTTATTTAATGTAAGTCTTGTTTTTTTCTTTCATCTTTTTCTTTTTTCTTATTCTTAATTTTTTTTTCTTTTCATTTTCATGTACGATGAGAATTGATTAAAAAACCTAACATTCCTTCAGACTACATCGCCATTTCTTTTCATTCCTCATGATATTGTGTGAACTTTAGTACCTCATTGATTGAATTGATTTCCCATTCATTCTTGGTTTCGTCTCATGACAACTTGTGTATTTACAACCCCCCCCAAAAAAATAAATGAAAAAATAAGAAAATAAAATAAATATAAAGGAATAAGAGTCAAGAAGTAACATTCCGACATTTTCAACAGTTTGTGGTCTTTTGCCCCCAGAAATAAGCTGTCCTTGGCGCTTGACCCGGAAGCCGAAACTGATGCCGGAAGCAGCACCGTAAGTAACGTCATGAACGAGAGAATTGCAGACGGCAAGGGGAAGTTACTCTGAGATGATGGATTAGTCGGAGTTTCCTAGCGTGGTGTGGGCGCCTCGTCTTCCCTTTCATGTCCACTTCTACATAATTGTATGTCATTTTCTTGTTTCCTCACGTCTCGTACATAATCGAAGCCAAGATACAAGAAAGATCGGAAGAGAATTCATCCAAACAGTTCCCAATTCATTACTTTCTGCTGTTAGTCAATACAGCTTTTCTTTTTACTGTACAGTCATTTGGCTGGGATTCCAATCTACATTCATGTCTGCGCCATATTTGTAGAGCAACCAATCTATCTCGGGTACGTCTTTATACATTCGTGGCACGGACTGAAACGTTATATCTTCATCATCAGCAGCAGTGAGAACTATTATTGATTATTCAAGAAGAAGAAGAAGAAGAAGAAGAAGAAGAAGAAGAAGAAGAAGAAGAAGAAGTAACAAAACACAACAAAAACGATAACAACAATATCTGCACCTTCAACAATTTAAATAGCCAACTTTTTAAGGACGACGCTTTTTCCTTGCTAGCATCCAAGTAATATTATATCTACAAGAGTTTGAGTTTTGGGTTGTCCGAAACGAAAATTAAGGTGTTGGGAGTTCTCATGTCCGCGAACAAACATTTGTGTCATGACGCGGTGGAATCAGGTGCTCGTCAGTGTTTGGGCATGTGAAGTTGTTGGTAAAGTAAAGTAAAGTTGTTTCCGCATCCGATCCGGACATTGGGGATTGTCTTGTTAGTGAGACAACTTCCTGGGCCTTCGGCATATTGTGGTAGGGTGGCTAGCTAGCTAGCTATTTTTTATAGTAGAGGGTTTTGCAGCGCTCGCAACTGCATAAGGTCATATGAGCGTCAAGGGCTGGGTGTCAACAGAGAAGTCTTTACGGGAATCAGACTTAGACTGCTCACTTCTCTAGCTTCAACAGCACAAAGTCTGCTTCGACTATCAAGGCACCCCGGATATAGCAGGTCACAAGAGAGTGAGAAACCTACAAAAGAAGTAGAGGAAAATGACAATAGTAAGGATCAGGAAAGAAAAAGCATCAGTTCCCTGTTGTAGATCAAGCACAGTTATGAGCGTGACATGAGTCAGCCCATTTACAATTCTACTATGCTTGAACGAGAAATGCCCCCCCCCCCCTTTGGGAATGGCCTAAAGACACTACAGTCAGTGGCACTGCCCCGGGGGGTTATAGATAGATAGAAAAATAGATAGATACATGGATATGTAAATATATATAGAGAGAAATCAGAGAGAAAGCAAGAGAGAAAGAAATAAAGTAAGTCGGTATCTGTATGAACCACAGACTAAGACTTATGCAGGTGGCTGGAGGGCGCTACTGGTAAGTCCTACTTGAAGAAAGACTTCTCTGTGCAGTTCATTTTTCACAAACAAGATGGCGACCTGAGTGAATGTGAACAGGATTGTTTTTGAAACTGACCGTGTCCCATTTGCGGTCTTGCAAGTCAAATAGTCCTGTCGGAAACAATGTCGAGGCTTCTGTAAAATGAAATCATCATGAAGAAAGACTTTTCTGTGAAGTTCATTTTTTATAAATGTTAGATGGTGATTTCCTCTGTGAACTCGGGTTAACAGGGACAGTGAATGATACAGGTATGACATTTCCTCTGTGAACAAAACAGGCTAACAGGAACAGTGAATGATACAGGTATGACATTTCCTCTGTGAACAAAACAGGCTATCAGGGACAGTGAATGATACAGGTATGACATTTCCTCTGTGAACAAAACAGGCTATCAGGGACCGTAAATGATACAGGTATGACATTTCCTCTGTGAACAAAACAGGCTAACAGGAACAGTGAATGATACAGGTATGACATTTCCTCTGTGAACAAAACAGGCTAGCAGGGACACTGAATGATACAGGTATGACATTTCCTCTGTGAACAAAACAGGCTAACAGGGACAATAAATGATACAGGTATGACATTTCCTCTGTGAACAAAACAGGCTAACAGGGACCGTGAATGATACAGGTATGACATTTCCTCTGTGAACAAAACAGGCTAACAGGGACAGTGAATGATACAGGTATGACATTTCCTCTGTGAACAAAACAGGCTAACAGGAACAGTGAATGATACAGGTATGACATTTCCTCTGTGAACAAAACAGGCTAGCAGGGACACTGAATGATACAGGTATGACATTTCCTCTGTGAACAAAACAGGCTAACAGGGACAATAAATGATACAGGTATGACATTTCCTCTGTGAACAAAACAGGCTAACAGGGACAGTGAATGATACAGGTATGACATTTCCTCTGTGAACAAAACAGGCTAACAGGGACAATAAATGATACAGGTATGACATTTCCTCTGTGAACAAAACAGGCTAACAGGGACAATAAATGATACAACAGGGACAATAACTCTGTGAACAAAACAGGCTAACAGGGACAATAAATGATACAACAGGGACAATAAATGATACAACAGGGACAATAAATGATACAACAGGGACAATAAATGATACAACAGGGACAATAAATGATACAGGTATGACATAAATAAAACATACAAATAAATTACACTTTTATTTGTCCCGGACGGGCACTTTGGTTTACAATGGCAAACATACATAATTATACATACATAAATACATAAGTATAAATACATACATGCATAAAAACATGCTTAACTACGTACATAAATACACAATATTAAACAAATACAGAGCAGGTTACAACTATGCCACTGTTGGTCGCCACTGTGCAGCGCCCTGTATTTTGAGCTAGGGTTGTCGTGTCTTGCTCAAGGACACACCCCCAGAGACCACCCATCTAATCCCCGTGTCACCGACACTTGCTTGACATAACTTGAGTCTGAGCTCCCTACTCACTTAGCCACTGGAGCCCCCTAACATTAAATAATATGGGGTACACCACATAACGTACAGAGAACATAGAACTAATATAATATAACACATAGCCCTCTCAACTTCTTTACTTTTTACTTTTCCTCTGTTGTTTCTGTCTGTCTGTCTGTCTGTCTTCCTTTTTTCTCACCACTGAATGACCGTTAGCGTATCGATGTGCGTCTCTTTACTCAAACAAACAACCAAACAGATAAACGGAATTTATATGCTCTAAAACAGGCGTCTTCAGGCTTTGTCAAAGTACAAAATAGCGCGTCCTCTCTCAGCGAGTGAAGAAATTGTAATTCTGATACCATCACTAAAAGGGTTGTATAAAAATATCTCTTACAGCATCAATAATTTAGTCGTGGGATTTGTAGGGCAATTCTTTTGTTTTTCCCTTAAAAACTCCTTTCAAATCGAAGCCCTATCTGTATGAGGATGGGGGAAAAAGTGTGTGTGTGTGTGTGTGTGAGGAAATGAAAAGATTCGGGGAACAAGGGGGGTGTGGGTAGGTGGGTTGTGGTGATGGTAGTGAAAAGGATGCAGATATATTATTATAGTCTTTCTTAGAATTTACTTGTTTATATTTTAGTTTCGTTTTGCGTCAATCATAAGTTGAATAGAAAGTCTCCAAGGCATCTAGCTTCGGTCTACGTTTTCTTTCTTACTTGAGGGATTTTTATTTATCCATATCTCAACCCCCTCCCCCCCAATCCCTATTTTTTTCGTCCTGTGTCCCTTTTTTCGCGTGCAATACAAGTCGTGATCTTAATCGTATCAGACAAACTTTGACTAAGAAAATCGCGACACCAATTCTTTCTTATCGTATCTCCATTTTTTTTTTAAACAGTGAAATTGTAACTTCTTTTTAAGCTCATTCTTTGTTATGAACTTTTTTCGCTATTATTTAAAATGGAGATACGACAAGAAAGCACCGAGGTTGTGAAATGTGAGTGAGTCGGTAGGTACTACTACTACTACTACTACTAATAAATGACATTTATATAGCGCTCAACCCCAATTAAAGTACACAGGCTCTGAGCGCTTTACAATACAGTACAACGTACAACAGTAACATAAAACGATGTGTTCTCACTAAAAAAAAATTACTCCAAATATTCATTTTATTAATTTAAAAACAGAAGCGACTTCAGCTGACATTTGAATAAACAAAAGATTTGATCTCTCAATTAAAGTACTTGGTGAAGCATTCCAAATCTTGGGGCCTTGGTATTCAAATGCACTTTCACCCATTGTTTTAAGTTTCATAGATGGTAAAATAAATTCGTTTCTGTCAGCTGATGGTTGGAATAAGGCAAGGAGGACAGGGTTTCCTCACACTCACAAGCAACCAAACTTTTCTTACCACCATCACTTCCTGGTTGTACGCAGGAGTCGATAGCTCGGAGCCCTTTCCGGAACCAGGGACAGAAATTAACGTAACACGACAACCGCGCGGATAATCGCTCAGCCAGAAGACCATTAGTAAAGAGCTTTCACTTTCTCCCCTCCCCCCTCTCTCCCTCTTTCATTAATTCTCTTTCTCTCTCTTATTCCTTGTCTCTCTCTCATTCTCTTTCTCTCTCTCCCTGTCCCACTTATTTTATATATCTCTCTCTCTTTCTCTCTCTC